CCACAAGGCCTGGCTTTTTTTGTTGTTGCAGTTGTGATTGTTGCTTAGCTGGCTCTGGTCAGGTTGAAACCTGCCAGCCTCATTCAGTACACATGGCTGGCGCTATAACCACTGTGCTACAGGCGCTGAAACCCACCCACCCCCCCTTCTTGGGAATTAAGGAAGGAAAATAGTGAACAGGTAACCCCTGTTTCCAGACTGCCAGATGGCAAGAAACCATTTCTAGGAGACATCTAGACCTACACAGTTTCCCAAGCTCCTTTCCCCTTTCACCACCTTCTGGTCAACTCAGGAACATCAGGTGGTCTTTCTAAAGTTAGTCAGCCATCTCCCCATATTGCTTGTGAATAAACTGCCTTTTCTTCCACCAACTCTTGCATTGTGACTTTGACTTTTCAGGAAGGAATAGACAATCTTGGGATCAGTTAAAATTTTGCAGGTTTTGAGTGAGTCTATGGAGTGACTTGTTTAACAATTCCCCCTGTTGCTGCTGTAACTCCTTTTAGGCTGTAGCAGCGCTCAGGTGGAGAAAGCAAACACAGCACAAAATCCCCTCTGCTCAACACTTTGTAACAACACAAAAATCTCTGGTTCAAAGACCACCAATCACAATCTTGAGGCATGGCATGGTTTGCTGGCACTTTAAATTCTCCAAAGGTGAGAGAAGGTAGCTGTGTCTAAAGACCTGGACTCAGAATTTGGACCTGCAGATTTGGGTCTGGCACTTACCAGGCTGCAGGCAGTGCCCGGTGTACATTCATGAGAATTACGGAAACGGAAAAACAGGAATGATGACAGTCTCAGTGCACATCTGTCACCCAGATTGAGCTTCTGGCCTCATAGTCTTTGGGACAGTTTTAGTTCTAAAGATATCAGGACAATTGAAAGACAGAGAAAGGTAATGAACAGCTGATTGCTGCCCTATAAAAGTAGTGTCAGATTATCCCCAAAGTCACTGTACATAGGAAAAATTGAAAATTGTAGGTAAATATACCTTTACAAAATGCTCATTGCAAACTTTTACAAACAGATGGCAATACATAGAGAATATTTTGTAAATGTTTTATAAGATTTTGTTGTAGGTGGTGTCTGTAGCTCAGTTGGCAAGGGCGCTGGTCACAATACACCTAGTTCAAACCCAGCCCAGGGTCTGCTGAGCAACAATGACAACTGCAACCAAAAAATAGCCAGGCGTTGTGATGGGTGCCTGCAGTCCCAGCTACTTGGGAGGCTGAGGCAAGAGAATTGATTAAGCCCAAGAGTTGAAGGTTCCTGTGAGCTATGATGCCAGGGCACTCTACCCAGGATGACAGCTTGAGACTCTGTCTCAATTTTTTTTTTTTGGTAAATAAAAGTACTGAGAGCTACGATTTCCCATTTTCCTTGTGTTTGGTGACTGTAGGTGCAACTTTGGGGACACCATGTACAATAACTCCTCATGAAGGGAGACTGGAAATCGGCAGAGACCATTGCAGTTTCATTATTTGGGGTAGGAAGCACTTTGCTGTGCAATTATGCATTGTGACTGGAATGTTGAGCTAGAAAGCACCTCTGGAGTTACATTCAGTGGGCATCATTTCTTTCTTTTCTTTTCTTTCTTTCTTTCTTTTTTTGAGAGACAGAGTCTCACTTTGTCAACCTCAGTAGAGTGTTGTTGCCTCATAGCTCATAGCAACCTCCAACGCTTGG